AAAATGATTGTTGTTACTTTTTTCACAATTTAGGAATAATTTATATATTTATTTATATTATCTTTAAAAAAATATAAAATAAAATTTGGTGATAGTTGAATAATTAAAGTTTAGGAATAATTATGGGATTAAGGTATGAAAAAAATGTCTCTAGAAAAAATTTAAAAGATGAAAAAAATAAAAATTAATTTTAGACAAATTTTAAGTAAAAAAATAGTAATTATTTTAGAACAGATAAAGTCTAATACATGTTAGATATTAGTATTTTAGTATAAATGGTTTGTTTAATCTGTACCTAATAGTGTTATTATTGTACTTTTTTGCATTAATTATTATCAAAAAATATAAAAATTATCATTAATTTCATCACTGGTACTATATAGATTATTTTAATAAGATAGTTATTAAAATAAAAATTAATTTTTATTTTTTAATAATAATTAATGAAAAAATGTAATAATTACATTTTTGACATGTATTTTTAAAATACAAGTTAAAAAAATCTTAATATAAATTGAATATAGAAGTATAATCTAGATAATAAAATTATGAAAATATCATTAATAATAAAGATAATGCAGATTTTTATTAAAAACGTTTTAGTAATTTTAATAATTTATAGTAGAAAAAATATTTTTGTATAAAAGTATAAATTATTTCAAAATTTTTAATTTATATATTCTTAATTTATACCAAAAATAATTATTTTCAAAGTCGTTTGGCAGAGCTTTAAAAGCTGTTAGCTGTTCAAACTTGCTTTTAATTATACTTTAATAAAGATATGATGGGAATTGTCTTTCCCAGAAACTCATGTTGTATTTTGCTGCTTGCTCTTTAATCTAATATCTTTTTTTTTTTTTTTTGAATAGGATTTGAAACCTTATATCGTTAAATTAAAGTATGAGAAGTCCTTTATCAAGAATAAAGTGGGCAGTAGGCCACGTTCTCAATCTAATCTCTTTATCTTCCCAAAAAAATAAAAAAATAAAAAATAAAAAGGAAGGAAGACTTTTGTCGAATTGGCTTGACTAACCGTACAAAGATCATCAAGTCTCACCTGGGCTAGACAAAGACAAAGACTTTTCACTTTTCAGAGTCGTTTGGCAGAGCTTTAAAAGCTGTTAGCTATCAAACTTGCTTTTAATTATACTTTAATAAAGATAGGATGGGAATTGTCTTTCCCAGAAACTCATGTTGTATTTTGCTACTTGCTGTTTAATCTAATCTCCTTATTTATCCAAAAAAACCAAAAAAGGAGGGAAGAAACACTCTCATCTAATTGGCTTGACTTACTGTACAAAGATTCTCAAGTCTCAACTGGCTAGCTTGACTAAGACTTTTCGTAGTCATTTCGCAGAGCTTTAAAAGCTGTTAGCTATCAAACTTGCTTTTAAAGTTGCCTTTAGATTTTTACCTGTTCCATAATTTTCAATTTTTCAAGGTCATTTCGTTAGCTTTTTGTAAGTTTGTTTTTTTTAATTAGATGGTATGTTATTAATAATTTAAATAATTTAATAATAATTTTTTCACTGAAAATTAGAGACCCTAAAATCAAAAGAGAAATATGCTTTGCCCAACACCCTCTATAATGGGATGCATTACTTGAAAATTGTAACGCTGCATTGCATTAGACATTATCACATTCACCTATTGAAAATATTGTTTTATTGACCTTTTTTTTTAAAAAAAATTAGTTAAAAATGTCGAGTTCTCGCAAAAAAAAAAATCAAAAAAAATGTGTCTTTGTGTCCATGTGAATATTGAAATTTCAAGATTTTGGAAAGGGAGTCCTTCGAATACGTGCAAAATTTAACTAGGATTTTTAGACTAAATTTAGTTGCTGAGGGAAGTGATTTAGGACCTAGTTGAAAAGCATTGAAAGTTTGATGATTAGAAAATTATTATTTTGGATTGATAGTAATCTTTG